ACCACCTTTTTTTCTTGTTGGTGTTGTTGCGCTCCCCCCCTCCCTCCCCCCCACTCCCCCAGGGGGTTTGCGGGGGCGACGAGAGCACCGTTTTCACCCCCCTTCCTCCATTCCAGTCCATCACAGGGGGGATCTAATCACAAGCCACAAGAACAATAGTCCAATTCTGCAATTTTGATCAGCCTTTCCAGTGTTTCAGCTGTTTCAAATGAACCCTGGAAAGGCTGATCAAAATTGCAAAATTTTGGATCAACTTTGAAACAAATCTCTAAAAATACAGGTTTTGTTTCAAGGTAGGAACATGTGAGTGGCTATTTCAAGGTTAAAATAATTTGCACAACCCTGGTTCATTGAGAAAAACATTTGGTGGAGGATTAAGCAGGAAAGGAGAATTGCCATCTCCATGTATGAGTAAAAATGGGTTTGAATCCAGTCCAAAGTATTTGAGTTAGCATATTATGTTGGTTATGACTTGATCCAAGACATGTAGTTTATACCATACTTGAAAACATTTGCATTAAATTAAATTATTACACTTTCAGAGTGCCTGATGGTTTTCCCTTCAACCAGTTTCACATCACTGATAAGCTCCAGGAAAAAAAAAAGTAATATAGGCAAAAGTCTCTTTTCTCCTAGGCTAAAATTATTTCAGTATTCCTAGTCAGCATTGAAACACTTAATCACGCCTTGCTTTGCTGGAAACACAGACACAAGCATCATTGCTTTTGTTAATATGGAAAAGTGAAACACTCTGTACTGCTTTCACAGCAGTAAGTCAAGTGACGTTATACAGCAGAGTCTTTGGAATCATCCTGTGAACAGGTATTAGCAAAGAAACTACAACAGAATTAGTAGATAGATCTACAAAAGCTTAAAGCTTAAAGTCATTAAAAGATCTGTAGAATAAAGAAATGTCACCTTGATTTTTAGAGAGTCTGAATCGTAAGGACTTGGAGTGAAGTCTGTGTGCACTCTGGCTCTGCCACAGAATGGTCCAACATAACTGATTTCTTCATCAAGCCTTAGGCTGTCTCTGTTGCTTGTTCCATCTGAACAACAAGTTACACCACCTGGAAGCAATAAGAATAGTTTACTTGTACATAAGAGTCACTTTTTCTGAGATGAGCAGTATCTAAATTTGAAATATAAATAAATAAATAAAATCAATCTAAGATGGGTACCACGTGAAGCCAAACTAATTCACAGAAAATCTGTGAAGAGAAAAATCCCTACTGCAAAGAGGGTCAGCCTATTTTTTGGTAAGGTGAGGGAACAGCAGGTTATTAAAGAACAGGGCTGTGTGCTGTAGACACAGCCTGCAAGTCCTAATTCAGCTTCCTGCCACTATATGCCCAGTAGTTACTATGATATCACCAGTGTTAATATTCATCTGTCAATCCAGTAAACTTTTGTACAATGAATAAGGGGTCCTGTGTTTTTCTTCAACTCAGGTAACTTGAATACATTAAAAAAGTGAGTGAGTATAATTTACTAAATTTACTATTGTAAAGTTCTATTGAATTTATAGGACTTAGTACTACTTAACTTTGGCCGGATCTTATCCCATAATTTATTCACACATACTGCAGAATAATTATTACTTCCAAGGATATGTTAAAAGATGGAAAATTTGGTCTCAAAGTTCTGAAACAGCACAAATGTCATTAAAATGATCAAACTCTAAACTGGCAAAGAGTAGTGTAAGGACTGGGGCCTAAATCTTCCTCAAGGCTGAAAACCAATGAAATATATAATATTAATATTTAACCAATCAACTGTTGAATTTTTCTTCTAAATTCGGGCATATGGGAATAAATTTTTGCTGTACATGCTACTGAATATACTTTTAGACACAAGGACTCAGATGCATTGCAGAATGGAAATTTTAGTCTCAAAGGTTCTATATATGGTCAAGCTGAAAAGTCCTGCTTCAGCACATTTAACTAAACACTATAATATTCCATTCAAATACACTTTTGATAACACCAATACTGTGAATATATTTTCTTCAAAACAGCTCACAGAACAAGCAAATAATTATACCTGATAAATTTGCTTAAATATAGCTGGGAGAAGACTAAATAGACTTCCCAGATCATGATATTTCTGAAAAATGTATAGGGAAATGAAGTTGGGCAACAGGAATTGGACTCAGAAGTAGGGCAATGGTAGAGAAAACCTGTGCTTTGTTTCATGACAACAGAATTTTAAAAGAAATATTAGATGTCTCTGGTTGCAGTAAGCCTTGTTCAGAATTAAACCCAAATAAGTTAAGTAAATTCATATAAGAAACATGAGTCTATATTGGGCAAATGCCTCCATGCACTAGCATCACATATACACTGTTACAGGATAGGCCATGTTTAGTAATGAGATAAAATAGAAATGATCAAGCAAACTTGATGGTGGTTTAATTCTGCAATACCACATCTCATAGAGTTAATGCAATTCAGACAGTCCCTCTTTTCATTTGTAACCTTCCTATGATTTCTCATCACTACTTTAATCTTTTTTTTTTAATTGCAGAAAGTCCACTAAGAAAAGAACAGTGTTTAGAAACACTAGGGGTTCATCTGTTTGGAAGCATCCATAAGGTTGGCTTCAAGGTAAGTTTAGTCATCTTTATGAGCTCACTAGAGATGTACAAATCATTACATGCATTAATTATTGTACACTAGAGATGTACAAAACATTACATGCATTAATTATTCACTGCATCAACAGCTAGTTTTAGATGGTTGATTTTGGACTAATTGTTTGGCCCAGGCACACACAGAAGCAAACTTGATGGGCATGGCAAAAGCATTTGGGGAGGGAGGGAATGGGAACAAGGACATTGGCATGGGGGCATGGTGGTGGCAGCTGGATGCTGGGAAAATTGGGAAATGGGCAGGTGATTGTTTAGGCTACACTTGAAGCCCAGGACATCAACAGTAATGATGGCTAAAGGAGATAGAAAAAGGAAGGAGCTGGGAAGATTGGGGAGGTGGGTGAGCCAGATAGATATGTCATGCTTAAAAGCAAGATTATCAGCAGTGGCTGATAATTAATTAATAATTAATTCCCTAAATTAAGGGAGGGAAAAGATGGTGCTGGGAAGTTCAGCAGGTGGGCTGGCACAGAAGAGAGGGAGAAACAAGGTGAATCAGCCTGCCTAACTTATCCCAAATTTTGTTTCATCCAAAACTCAAAACCCTCCCAAATGCTCTGGATTTCAGGTCTGCTGAACTGTAGCCCAACCTTTATAGTTCAATAGAATCCCAAAATACAATGGGTGTATTTTTTTCCATTTGAAATAAAACACGTTTTCTGTTTCATGCACATCCTTAGAACTCCCTGTTGAAATTATCAGGAAGACAAACACCTGCAAAATACTGCGATGTATTTGAGCACTTAAAGTGACAGAAACCATGTCTGTTTGGGAATATGATTGACCTCGACCTAGGACATGAAAATTGAATTGGTGTGTCAGTGAACCATTCTGCCTTAGAATAGAGAATGCTCTAGTTAAAAAAAAAAGAAAAAAAAAGCCTAAAATGGCATGCTTTAGTGTCATTAATCAATTCTATGAGACAGAATGACAGCATAAAAGCTTACATACGAATTTCTCAGTAAAAGTATATCATAGCAAAATCCCTATCAGTGTTTGCTATTTGAACATTGTGTCTCACCAGACAGTAGCTCATCCATAATTTTTATGTGTATTGACAATCACGTAGAACAGGTCCTAAGATGTACTTTCTATTGATATGCAATGAAAGAAAAAGAATCTCAGACACTATGCTCATTTTGGTGACTAAACCCCACCAGAATAATAGGACTCACTTCCAAGTAAATATATAAGGATTGTGCTATATGCTTCTCTTACTTTTAATTTTTAAAAAGCTATTTATATGTTAACTATCATTTAAGTGTACAATATCATACAAATAAGCTTTTTTCTTTAAAAAAAATTAAGAGTTAATTCTTGTGGAATCCTCTCTAAATTAATTTTTGTCAAATAAAAAATCAGTAAAATATTTTATACAATTGCATTGTTCTGAAACAATGTGGGAACTGATATAATTAATTTCATAACATTTATAGAATATTTTTCTTAACCTTGATCTTTCTTTCTTGTAAGTGCTTCATGGTTGATTTGGGGGTACATTTTGGATCATTGTTTTGGTGAACTATCCAACCTCTTTTCACCTCCAATTTCTTTGCTTACTGTGTAACATTATTTTTTTAGACTATTTAGTTGAATCTATTCTTTCCACCCACATAGTATTTCGTGGGCAAAGCTACCAGGAATAATTAGCAAGGTGTTCTTTTCTTCAAATGTTTCACTTTCTTTTCTCCAACTGTGTCTTGTTGGATTGTGGCCAACAGTTTTTGTTTCATCGATCAAAAGGACCTTGTTCCCAAACATTTCAGACTAATTCAGACATACTTTAGACAATGATTTTTGCAATGCAATTGAGTAAAGATTTTATTCTGACAATTTTTACATGCAGATTATTATTGTATAAGCAATGCTGTGCTGCAAACTGATGGACAACTACTCCAGTGTCAGCTAAAATTTTCAGGAGGTAATTTGCAAATCTATGGGTTGTTTTTTGCAGATCTGGCCCATTGTCTGGGTAGTTTTTGCACAGATCTTTTTCATGGTCTTCTGAATCTTGCCAAGTTCCATGTAACTTCCATTTCTTAGCAGTGTTTCTCACAGTTGAAATAGCTATCTGAAACCTTTTACAGATGTTTAAAATATCCTTTATATCCAATATATGCTTTGTAAGAAATAGTTACTTCATTTTTAATTGCTCAGAGAACTGATTAGAGGAGCCTATGGGCATTTAAAGTACACAAAACAGCAATCACAAGCTATGGGATTAGAAGAATCAGAGTATTTTCTAGCCTTTGAAACTGTCTTCACTTGGCTAATTGTAGGTCTAATAAATCACTCACCTTTTGGGATATTATTAATAACTTTACACTACTGAATCGAATCTGAAGGGTGTCCAAAGTACTGCACTTGCCGTGTTCACTATTTTCTTATTGTGAATCTATAAATATGTATATATAAATAGCAAGTATACATTCAATTTTTTTTTATTATGTAGACAGTATGTCAGCTTCTGTTCACTTACAGATTCATGAATCACATAGATTGAACCAGAGGACTAAACTTTTGCATGCAAAAGACTGGGATTTTAACACCTAGAATTCCTTACCAGGCTGATCATCTACAATTTTTATATTAGAAAAGGGGGCTGTGTTCTTTTCAGGCATGTTATTTGAATAGGGCTAACATTTTCAGCCAGTTAACACATATATATATATACTTTCTATATAATTATTTTTTTACTTACTTGATGAGCTCTGACCGCTATTAAGACTATAGAGGCTGTCCATGGAATCACTAGCCTTTATACAAGCTGTGGTTGGTTCTCTTCCAGGGTCACTTTCTCTATTAGAAGTAGAAAAGTTTTTTCCTTCTTCATTCTTGAGAACAAAAGAAAGAGAGAGAATAACTTCAACAGAAGAAAATGTATTTCATGCAATCATTTATCAACAATGTTCTTATTAAGAGCATGACCTTATGGGCTCTGGAAGGTAATCCATGAACTATATATTTTTCAGATCTTATTTTCTGAGAGATAGGAAGTTTTGTCCTAAGAAGAGTTGACTTCACAAGCTTCCTCTGTTAAGTCAATACGTTTCCAGAATGGTGGCACTGTAGAACTCAAAACAGCATTCTGAGAGTATATCCAGAGAATAAATTTGCACCCTCCAATCCTCTGACGTGGGGATTGCTCAGCAAGACTCCAGCAAAGCATTGGATTTGGCAGAACATCTACTTCAAAAAGTCTCTTTTCAGATCCCTTAGGATTGCTGTATAATCACCGGTGCTTTCAGCAGAGCATGTACAGAAGAGCAATATTAGAATTTCCCATCACTTGGAACATTGATTGATTTCTTAAAGTTATGTGTGGACAGAATGAAGTATTTAAATAGAACAAAGATATATATGGAAGCTGTAAAAATCAGAACTGCCACAATAGAACCACATTTTCTTTTTAAATCAAACCTTGAGTTGTTATTTCCATCAAATTAAAAAAAAATCATACCAACTTGAACCTTAACAAGCAGTTTACTATGGAAAAGTAGAATCATATGCAAATAAAAAAGTAGTTTTATTAAGCAGAGTTCTAACTGCAACTTCTTTACTCATTGCTCTTCATTATACAACATCCCCTTTTTACTTAAGGCACTTTTATTAATGAATGGCTTTCAGACAAGGAAGCATTGTAACAGCAAGACTTATTTTGCATGGTCATTATGTACCATTGGACAAATAATTGTGCAACTATAGTTTCACAAGAAAAAGGGAACCAGAAGAAACAACTTCATGCTAGCTGTGCATCTTATTTGTAGCATAGCACACATACCAATGAAGAGGCAACGTATTATTTAGAATATTACATCTAACTCACAAATTACATAGTTGGTGAGTGGCTTCACTAGTGGATTTGCATTTCTCTGTTTTATCTTCGGAGAAAAGAATGCCTTGGGAAGAAGTTACAGTTTGCAAATACACAAAAATAAAATTTTGGCTATACCTCAAGCATGGGAGAACCAAAAACATTATCCCATGGAAAATCAGGACCTGAATGTTTTGGCTGCATGGCTGTGGTGTGAGAGTATCTAGGGAATATAAATACAGGAAAATCTTCATGCCTGTGAGATCTAGGATTTAGCCAGTAGTTGATCCACATATAGGTTTTTTTTTGCTATAACACAATTACTTTGCTTTTTAAAATTTGGTTCAGTTGAAGGGATTTATTAAAGGATTAATCTTAGCTGATGGCATACCCAGTACTTAGCAGCAAAGAACTTATAACTCAGGCACCTTATACTAGGCCTTATTTTTTTTTTTCGTTTACCCATATACTTAGATATGGAAAACTGCAGGTATGTAAGCAAGCTACAATAAAATAATGGCTTGGTATAGTTAAAATAACATGTGTGATCTGATCTTGTTGCTTTGTCTTTTTAGTGTATCTTTCTGAGCGGATGGTGTAGCTGGAATTGTAAATGTATGTAAATTGCATAATTAGAGTCATGGTTGCTATAGGTGGCCTAAATACTCATTTTACAGAAACAAACAAACAAACAAAAAAGTTTACCATTTCCTCTGAAAGTGCCTTGCTGTACTTTTTACCCATCTTTTTCTTCATAGTCATGGAAATGGCCCGCATCTTTTTTCCAATGCTTCCTCCATTATTGGTTTTGTTTTGCCTCATTTCTGTGCCATCACATGTCCCATCTACTTCATCTAGCTGTTTAAAAAGAAGGCAAGAAAGAAAAGCTTGTAAAGAAAATATAAGGAACTAGTTGTATAGAGTGTATTGAGGCAGTTCACTCATACAGTATGTGTCATAAGGATTCACATGACTAGCTATTGTTTTCCAGTGCAAATTATAAGCTTTGTTCAGGCAATATGTTTGCTTGTAGATTCCAGGAACCATACCTCTCCTCTCTAAATTATGCTGTGACACAGCCAACTGTCCATAAATAATTGCAGTTGTCTGCAGTGGGAGTCGTTGTATATACCACACAGGTTTTCACAGGAACCAGAATCCTGTAATATCAAGCTTTCCATTGCAGCCAATTACATTGTATTTGTGAATGACTTGTTTCTTCAGTGATGTCATAATGGGAATCATATGCTGAATTCTATATGTCAACATATCACCTGAAATAGAGCTCCAGTTCTCTCATAGCAAGAAGATCATGCAAGAGTTCCATCAGTAAGGATCTACAATTCACTAAAGAATAAATCTTTTGCTCTAGTGAGAGAAGAATGTAAAAAATATTCCCCTTTCTGATTTGCCAAAAGGAATATAAACATGTCCGTAATGCCAGACTAACCCCAGAACCTACAGGAGACATATATGCAAGGCATTTGATAGAAGTGATTTGGCACCACACCAATTCCCCTTTTCACTTATTTAGGGGCCTTGACCTTATTTTAATAACAAAAGATCTTGACTTCTCCTCCTGAAAAAGGAACAAAATTTAGCAGGCTAGCAAAATGAACCAAAATTTGTTGGTTCAGTTAAGATTCTTAGTTCATGTATGACTGTAGCATTTTAAGATCCCCAAAACATAGCAGGCACTAATATAATTAACAATAATATCACAGGTCCTCTGATCTTTATGCACTCTACCCCTAACAATTTGTCAGGCAGAGTGATAATCACAAACACTCCTGTTTGTGCAGAGCGCAGCAAAAACT